GCCCTTGCTGCTGTTATACAGTACAACATCAAATTCATTTCTTTTGAGTCCAGATTATCCATAATGCCCAATAGAAATAATTGCGGTGTAAATTTTATCTTTTTCTTAAAAATCTGTTGAAGATTCCACCAAATCTTTATCCAAAAAGCTTTAACGTCCGTACATGTCCACCAAATATGATAATAAGTTGCATCCAAATTACCACATCTCCAACATTTTGGCTGCAAGTTCGGATACATGCAAGACAGTTTTTGAGGGTCCAAATGCCATCTATAAAACATTTAATAAAAATTTTCCCTTAAATTCTGTGCTTGAGTGAACTAGACATTTCTTACCCAATTTATTTCCCATGTTTCTAACATAATTGACTTTTGAATATTTTGAGCCCATTTAATCATACAATCTTTAACTAATTCTGTTTCCGAATCGAACTCTATCAAAACACTATATATTCTCCTAATATGAGCTCTACTTTGATCTTTAATCTGTCTTATCAAGTTCACATCTTCCAATGCCAAGCCTGACTTTTGATCTATACGCCATCTCTCCACCAACTGGCTATATAGGAACCAGGACTGGAGAATATTATCTTGTCTCAATTCATCCAATAATTTAATTTGCCAGTCCTGTCCCCTTAAAATAAGTAGATCCTTATAAACAATTCCCTTTAGTTTAACTCCCCTTGTAATTCCTTGTATTGCATGTTCCGGAATAGCCCACATTGGGATTTTAAAACTTAACTTATAATGATACTTTTTCCAAACTCTCAAAAGTGCAGTTCTTAAAATGTGAGACCTAAAAACGTGATCAACTTTCTTGTCAAAAAATAAATAAGCATGCCATCCATAAAATAAATCCCAACCTTCAAGAGTCAATATATCTCTATTAGTTAAATTAATCCAATCACTAATCCAAGTTAAAGCCACTGCATCATAATATAATTTTAAATTTGGGGCTTTAAGTCCCCCTCTTTCCCGTGCATCTTGCAAAATTTTAATTTAACCCTCGGTTTTTTCCCCTGCCAAATAAACCTATTAACACCTCTTTGCCACTCTTCCAAATTTAAATCCTTTTTTAAAATAGGTATCATCTGAAACAAGAAAAGAAACTTAGGAAGGACATTCATTTTAACCACTGAAATTCTCCCTAATAATGACAAATGTAACTTTTTCCAATCATTTAAATCCTTTTGAACTCTTATCCATAACTTATCATAATTATTTTTATACAATTTAACATTAGAGGCAGTAATATAAACACCCAAATACTTCACCTTTTTCACCATTTCAAAACCAGTTAAGTTACTTAAAGTCTCTTTATCTTTCAAAAGCATATTTTTAGATAATATTTTAGTCTTATTATTATTTACTTTAAATCCCGAAACTTTCCCATACTGTGTCAGAATCTGTATCAGATGTCTTGTTGAATCAATCGGTTGCAATAAGGTAAAAACCAAATCATCAGCAAAAGCTCTAAGCTTGTAATCATTCTTACCCAAAGTTATTCCTTTTATAATCGGTGATTCATGAACCTGTATTAATAAAATCTCCAAAGTCAGTATAAACAATAAAGGTGATAAAGGGCATCCTTGCCTCGTACCTTTCTCAATTTTAATTAAGTCTGTCAGTCCTCCATTTACTATCACTTGCGCTGATTGTTGTTGGTAAATAGCCTTTAACGCTGATGAGAATCTGTCCCCAAAATTCATTTTGTCCACCATTCGTAATAAAAATTGCCAGTCCAATTTATCAAAGGCCTTTTCAGCATCCAGAAAGATAAGAGCCGCCGGGATTTGATTATTTTTATCCAGATATTCCAACAAATTTACAATTTGTCTAACATTATTCTTCATATATCTACCAATTATAAATCCAGACTGATCCACATGAATAATCCGTTTTAATACTTGCATTAATCTATTAGCTAAGATTTTTGCAAAAATCTTATAATCCGTATTCAATAAAGATATTGGCCTATAATTTTTAGGCTGTGTCAAATCTCGATCCTCCTTTGGTATGAGTGAAATAAATGCACACCTCCATGATGGTGGCACTTCTTCTCCTAACAAAATGCTATTAAAAAGACATCTCAAAGGTTCTAACATTTCTTCAGACAATATTTTGTAATAAATTGCCGTTAGCCCATCTGTACCAGGGGCTTTACCAACCTTCAGTTGTTTAATTGCCTCAGTGATCTCATCCAACACAATCGGACAGTTCATTCCTTTTTGGTCATCTGAAAGTCTAGGAAAATTTACTTGTTGAAGATAGCTATCTATTTCAGAAATTTGTATATTCTCAGAGGCATATAATTTTGAGAAATATTCCGAAAAAGCCTTTTTAATCAAATCTTGCTGAAAAACCTCTTTATCTTTATAATTTATTTTCTCTATAACTGTTTGTTTTTGTTTCTTTCGTAATTGATAAGCTAACAACCTTCCAGGTTTATCTGCGTTACAAAATGTATTATGTTTCATATATCTCAAGTTAACTGCCATTTGATCAGCCATTAACATGTTAAACTGTTCTTTCAGCATTGCAATAGTTACCTTTAAGTTATTATCCGTTGGATTTAAGGAGAGAGCTTTTTATTTTGCCTTTATTTCTTGTTCCAGGTCCCTATGCCTTTGTAATTGCTTTCGCCTATAAGCAGTATTCATTGAAATTAAGGCACCTCTCATAAAAGTTTTGCTTGCATCCCATACCATTGACATAGAAGTGCCTTTATTCATATTCAACATGAAAAAGTCTTTTAAGTGATCTTTAAGTTTCTGTACATTAGTTTCATATTTTAATAAGTTCTCATTTAATCTCCAAGTCCTTTTACTTCCACCATCAATTAAAAATTCCATCCATACAGGACTATGATCTGATAAAGTCCTAGGAAAAATCTTCACTCTTTTAACCTTAGAGATCAAATCACTAGTAATCAAAATAAAATCAATTCTAGAGTGAGATTGATGTCTATCTGAAAAAAAAGTAAAATCACTTTCTCCTGTATTCCAATCTCGCCATATGTCTTTTAATTCCAAATCCTCTTGCAATGCAAAAAAACTTTTAGGCAATTTAGTTTGAGTTGAAGCTTTAGAAAAAGTCTTTTTATCTCTTTTAGGGTCTATTACACCGTTCCAATCTCCCATCATATAACAGATTTATAATCCAATTGTATTATCTTTTGATGTAAAAAACTGTAGAATTGTTTCTGCTGTTGGTATTGGTTAGGTGCGTATATGCCAGCAACAAGACACTTTTTCCCATTCAATAAAAGTTCAATAAACACAAATCTTCCTTCTGTATCTGATTCTATTAACTTTGGCAGTAACTCTTTCTTAATATAAAAAGCTATACCTGCTTTTTTCTTTGGTGCAGGGGCAATAAAATGTAGACCCAATTTGGAGTTTACCAGATATTTTTGATCTTTTGATGCAATATGCGTTTCTTGTAGACATATGATATCATTTTTTGTATTGTTTCAAATAATGAAATATTTTCTTCCTTTTTTGTGGTGAATTCAGTCCATTAACATTTAAAGTCATTAAATTAACCATCTTTCGGCTTTTGGAGCTTCTGGAGCATTCCTTGCAGGTCTGTCATAACAGATCTTTTGGATCTGGCCCCTCCCACTGGCTCTGAGGCACAGATTCTTTTTGTTGTTCTCTTTCCCTTCATTTATGCGCTGCATGTGTCATCCTCTGCTCTTTTGAATCAGCTTTTACCTCCATCAGTTGCTGACTCTGGGAATCAACTGCAGGCAACGATGTAGCTCCAGGCATTTCTATAACCAATTGTTCCACTTCTTCCATTCCTTTAGTTGGTGACATAGGAGATGAATCTGCTTTCAGAACCGTTAAGTAAAAATCTTTGGCCTTCTGAACTGTATCAAGTTTATAACGATTCCCAGCATAATTCAAAACCAGTCCAACAGGTATCTCCCATCTAAAAGGCATTTGTCTCTTCTTTAACTCCTGACCCAAAAAAGCAAATTCCTTTCTTTTTTTAAAATTTTTTGAAGGTATTTCTTTCAGAATTATAACATCTTGAGCAGCAATCTGGAATCTCTGTTGATAAAAAGCTTGTATGATATCATTTCGACGTGTTTTTCTGGAGAAGTAAACAACCACATCTCTAGGCAAATTTCTCTGACGTGCCACCCATGAGTTTACTCTATATGCTTTTTCGATTTCTCCATATATAATTTCAGGATCGGAGTCAAAAACCAGGGCTAGAGCAGCTGCTACCTCCTCCCTCAATTTCTCTTGTAAATTCTCCTTAAGGCCTCTAATCCTTATGGCATGCTCCATTTCTCTATATTGTGACATTACAATATCATTTTGAACAATCTTCACACCTTCTTCTATTTTCTCTAATCTCTCCTCCATACCCTCCATCTTCTCCACCACTTCATCCACATGTCCTTCTATACGATCCACATGAAACGCAAAACCTTGAAAAATTTGGGACATGTTTTCACACAATTCATCATTTTTCTTGCCAAGAAGTTCTTCTGTTTCAGCTCTCATCTGTTGTATTATCTGTTTAGAGATTTGTACCAGAGAATCCTGTAAATCTTTAAGAGTAATGTAAGGAGGAGGGGAGGGTGGGGGAGTTTTAGCTTTCTGCTGTGTAGATTGTACAGCTGGCGAAGGAGTAGCTGCTTTAGGTACAGCAGAAGTTCCAGTATGTTTAGAAGCCATTCTTAATTTTAAAAGAGTCTTAATAGTCAGTCCAGAACAATAAGTATTTAAACAAATTTTTCTTGAATTTTTTTCTTTTTTTCCCCCAAAGTCTTTACAGTCGTTACAATGTAGCAATCCACAACCGGAAAAGAAGTGAAAGTTTCCCTTTGAAACAAAGAAGCGGCTCGCCCGCAGCCATTTTTTTTCCCCCAAAGTTAACTTTAACTTTAAATTGCAACAATTGAGAAGAAGCCTTGTTCTTTCTGAGTTAAAGTTATATTTTCTTTTCCAAACAAGTCCAAGTTCCTAGTCAGCTCTGTCTGATGATTTACTCACAGTTAGAAAATTTTCAAAGTTTCAGAGGTGGAGACGACGTCTGGCTTCGCTGCAAAAACGAAGACATCCCGGTCTGCAGAGGAAGCTCTGAGCGCCGGAGGAGTTCTCACCTACGTCTCCCTGGAAGCTCCTAGGGAGACTAGGGAACTCTACTCCTACTCAGAGTATAGCTCACCTTCTCTCCTTCTCCCGGAGAGAAAGCTCAAGCCGCCAAACAGCTGATAGATGCTGTTTCGGCAGCTTTAACGCAGCCCCGGACAGGAGGCTGTCAAAAAGCCTCCATCGGCCGTCGCCGAACCACCATTTCAGCATTCTTAATATTATCTAATTCCAGACCTTCTGTGCTCCATTACTTGTCAATGCCATTCTCATATCATTGCTAATCTTTTCCTCTGGTTTTGCCCCCATCTCATAATTAATTTTAAACTCCCTTTCTTCAAGTTGTCTGTCTTCTTGCCAGACATCTTCTAGCCAGTCCCTGTGTAGTATCCACAGCTTACTTTAAACTTCTTTCATCCAGAAAACAAAGAACATGGACCCCACAAATCAAAACTGTCATGAGGATAACTATTATTATGTTTTAATATAAATATTTCTTCCACTTAATCAAATGCTCCTATTATTTTCTCCCTGAAAACTATTGCTCCCTGAAAATTATTTCCAATTTTCTTTGGAAATTTTATTTTTCATGTTACTACTTCCCAATCTAGTCTGCACCTTGTTTCTTGGTTCATCTCATGCAAATGTTAATCAGAGCTGTCTGTTTAACTTTTTGGGACCATCCCAAGTTGAGTATTTATCTAGATTTAAAAGCTTATTATCAACTAATAATTATTATTTGCTTTTCCTGCTATTTTCTAGGCATGTCAGATAGTGATACAATATGTGAATGTCACAGGGGATTTTTTCTTCAGGAGGATCAGAACAAATGCCTTCCCTGCAGCAGGTGGAGAAATATTATTTATCTTGTAATACATGTGGGAATAACTCCTGGGCTAGGTGTAACTGTAGGCCTTGTCTCTGCACTCCCAGCTGATTCATCCTCCTGCTTCCATGCTCATTTTCCATGGAAATTGCTCTGGGTCTTGACCTATCAATCTGCTTGCTGACTGATCTCTGCTCTAATCCTTTGTACAGTGGGATGGATATGTCATCATGTGCTTACCAGTTAACAGAATAACAGTTAAAAGGGGCCTTGGAGGTCTTCTAGTCCAACTCTCTGCTCAAGTAGGAGAACCTATACTATTTCAGAAAAGTAATTGTCCAGTCTCTTCTGAAAAACCTCCAGTTGTCCCAGAGTAGTAGTGCTGAAAATAGTTGGGGAGCTTCATGAGGTTCATGCTTCTCCTCTGTTTTTCATCCTAATGTGTTGTGAAGCTTTGAAAATGCACCTTATGGAATTATTGAATTCCAGTCTTAAATTTCCCTCCTCTGTACTAACCAGCTGATTAGCACTATTTCAGTTTACCAGGTCTGCTGTAATTTAAAGTTGCCAACCCCAAGATAGGGGACAAAAGTGTGACAGAAAAAGCCATGTATATCTTTATGCATGTAAACAAATGTGAGAAGGTCACAGGGGAGTCTTGACTCTGCTATTGCCGATTGCCATACACAGGCCCATCTTTGCTATTAAAAGAGGGGTTACATTCCTGCAGCATAATCACTTGCAACTAGTGGGGTTTATTCTAGGTCTAGTTACACATAATGAAGAAAATATGGGTGCCTAATTTTGGAGAACAACCTTTGCTGATTGCGACTAGCAATCCTGACTAGAATTCTTAGCTCTTCTGAACTCTCACTCACAATTCCATACGCAAATAACTCCTTGCTCTTATTTTAATCTTTTTTCATCTGACATTTCTTTAGTGAGACTCAAACCCAAATCTAGCGGGCCTGGGGAAGGATTAATTCTTTTTTGTTCTTGTTTTCAGAAACACGTGTTGCCAAGATTATGTACATTTCAACTCTCTTTTGACATTTTAAGGGCCAGTTGAATAGTTTAATTTGAGTAATTTAATTCCCCTTGTTTTCTAATTCTGGGTATAGAATCAAAGGATAGTAAAATAAGAAATTTTGTTGAATGTTATCTATATGTACAGAAATTTCTGATTTCATCTTCTAGCTGCAATAAGGAAGATTGCCAGGGGCAGTGTGAAACAGGAATGGAAACTAAAAGGCCATCAAATTCCACAGGTGAGATTTGAAATAAATTATCTAATATTTTAACTTGATCACCACTATTTCCTTTGTATCACATTTTCATCTTTGCTGTAATATTCTTTTTTCATCAACATTTATTTTCATATCTTTTCAAACCAACAACATCCAATATGTTTTTTTTTCATTTAGAACTCGTATCTGTCCTCAGTTTCTTGACTGTCATGTTTGCAATTGGTTTTATTGCATTAACATTCAGAGCTTGCAAGAAATATTTTCCAGAAAGACAGTACTTCTCTTCCTGTAGTAAGTATCATTAATTGCCTGTTAATAAAATAAAAGAAAGTGACTGATTTCATTAAATGAATTACAGATCTAAAGCAATGAATCAGAATTGGACACAATGAAAGGTTATCAACATAGCTTTTTATTTTCACATTTGTCCCATTAATTTAAGATTGCAAAGACTCAGGGTTTTTGAAGGAGAAATTGCAATGTGTAGTGTCACCAGATACATGTTTCTATTGAACTTTAACAGGTGATTCAGACTCCAGAGAGGTAAATAAAAATATAGCCACCTGGCTAGATTCTTGTGGTATTGATGAATATATGCAAGGAAGTGAAGGTTTAATCATGAATGAAATGGCTATGTCAAAAAGTATGGTTGTTATCATATAGATTGTTATGGTTGTTTATGAAAGAAATAATCTGTATTTATGTATTGAATATACATGCTATTTCAGTCACTGAAATAATTCTGAAGTGGCTTACATGTTAAAAATAATCATGGAAATTGGGAAAAGTAACAGAGCATACACAAATTGCAATGAGATCTACTGTATATGCTAAGATGCTTAGGAAGGTGTTTGGCAGAATTCTGATTGTCACCTCTCAGTTGGAGAGCAGGTATGCAGACCAATTTTTTTACTTTTCAATATGTTATTAATATTTCAAAATTTATATGTTAGCTGATTTAGAGAAAGAATGTGCAAAGTGCATTGTGGTGAGAGTTGATAGGAGTGACAGGTATCAGAAGAGTGAGCAGATGAGGACTGTCCATCTTTCATAAAGGATACATCCAGCCCTCTATTAAGAAAATGTGAAAATGGACAAAATATATGTTCCCCTAAATTACTTACATAGAAGGATTTTCCTTTGGAAGTACAGTACTAATAAATACTATTACCCAAAGGTTGTCCCTTGGATTAACCGTTTCTAGTCCAGGCAGCAAGGAGGAAAGTGACATATGGCCCTGGGAGAAGTTTGTGTACCAGTATGCTAATCCATCTTGTATTTGGTCTATGACTTAGCATTATCTTTGAATTTATGGACAGTAAGCCATGGTTTTAATGTAGCATGTTTTGTGAGTTCAGCGTTTGATGACTTCTTCCACCAATAAAATAAACCTAATACTGTATTTTATCTCTATTAAAATCCATATCTTATATATTAAATAATTTTCATATTAAAATATCTATTTATTGAAAGTAGGGATGAGCCTTTACTCATAGCTGAAATTGGAAAGGTGCTTCAGATTCAGCATGAGGATGCTCACGTTTCCTGTCTGTGCTCCTTAAAGAAACCATGTCTTTACCTGGATTTGCATAGCATAGTCCCAGACCAACATGTCACAGCTCAGCCAGTCTGATTTGCCATGTTCCATCCATACTGTTGCAATTTTGTTATCTACTCTAAGAACTTGTCTGTTAGGTATACTATATTTACAGTAACTACTAACATCCAATCATCTGTATCCATTGAGAAATGTTTTCTTTTAGTACAATTTCAGCTGTTTATTAGTTCAGCATCAACCTGGAAAAATATACATTTATGTGTATTTTGTTTTATTTTTCAGCTTCAGGTGAACAGTTAAAAAAGCAACTTGCATCCAAGGTAAGTCTAACATTGCCCACAGGTATGTCTCCACACAGGATGAGGATTAACTCAATATTCCTATTAATATTGTTGCAAAGTAAGATAGATTAGGTGTCTTTAGATCCTGATAAATTTATGAATAGATTCTAGGTTTCTGATTCTTAAATCACTTGCCATTGATTCTTTTTTCCCACCAATGATTCATTTTTAATGAACATTCATATGGTATGTATTTTTCTTTAACACTACCATTGGGTCAAACAACACTTATCTATAAATATGCTATCCTTCTCACCCCCCCAAATGATTTACATACTGAAGCATTCCAAAGTGAGAAAAGGGAGAAAGGATTGAGGGAGAAATGAGAGGAGGCAGCTTCTAAGCTTCCTTCAATGATGGACAAAAACAGTGTCAGAAAACAGCCACTGAATTAGGTGATACAGTGCAGCATAGCATCTTTATTTCAAATGTAGACCATAATACACTGACCTAAAACTACACAGGTATAAGGATTACAGCAATTTCAAGTTGAAATATAATATGAAATATAATATGACTAAATTCATAATGAACTGTAATGAAAAACATTACTTTTAAGTTCTGTGAATAAAATTGTAATATTAATATTAAGCTCTGTAAGCCAGGGCTTTTCAACCTTTTCACCCATTATACCACTTTTAGGATAAGGCAATATCCGAGTACCACCAGTCACCCAGCAAGATGTCAAAAACTTGACCCCCCGAAAAGGAAAAAATTATATATTTTTTTATAATTATAATTATAAATTATAAAGTACAGTTAGTCCTCAACTTACAACAATTCACTTAGTGACTGTTCAAAGTTACAACGGCACTGAAAAAATAAAATTATGACCATTTTTCACACTTAATGCTGTTGCAGCATCCTCAGGGTCATGTGATTTACATTCAGATGCTTGGCAACTGATTCATACTTACGACGGTCACAGTGTCCCAGGGTCATGTGATCACCTGCAACTTTTTGACAAGCGAAGTCAATGGCCAGGGGGACGTGGCCAGCTCATCACTCAGGTTGTGGGGGGTGCGGGCGGGGATGGGGGGGATCTGTGAGTCTCTGGTGGAGGGGGGTGGGACAGGCATGGGCACCTTCCTTTCCTCTCTCTCCCCCTCCCATTGTCCCTTCCTTCTTTCCTTCCTTTCTTCCTTCCCTCCCTCTTTGTCCCTTCCCTCCCTCCCTCCCATTGTCCCTCCCTTCCTTCCTTTCCTTCCTCCTCTCTTTGTCCCTTCCTTCCCTCCCTCCCTCCCATTGTCCAGCACTACGAGAGCGGGGAGGGCATAAAAGAGCCCAGAGGAGGCAATTGGAGTTTGGCCGCCGCCACCGCCGCTGTTGCTGAGCCAGACGGCTGTGCGACGGCGGCTGCTGCGGTTCCTGCCTGCTGCTTCTCCTTGGCTGCTTCCTCTGACAAAGAGCGGCGGTTACACTTGGTGTAGCCGGGAGTCCAGCACAACCGCTGTTCTTCCGCAGGGGGAGCACAGGCAGCGGAGGAGCACATGGGGCAGGGAAAGAGCCGCGGCTGCCAGACTCCCTCTGGTGCGTTGCGCATGGCTGCAGCCGGAGAAAAGCAGTGAGCGGGGAAGCAGCTCATTCATTGCTGCAGCCGCAGCCCGGAGCCACGCTCAGCCCCGGGCATTTCTTTTATGGGCACGCAGAGCCTCAGCACCAGGCTGGATCCCGGAAGGCTACTCAGCGCCGAGCCAAAATGTAGCTGCAGCAACTCCAGCCCCTCCCTGGGTGCAAAGGAGCGCTTTTCGGGCTCCAGCCCCATCGCTGCACTGACCTGCGGTCGAAAACAGGCCTTGCTCTCTAGACGAGAGCCGAGCCCAGCGACCGGAGGGCAGCCATGAGAGTGGCGGGAAGAGTGGGCAGGGCCTTGCCAGGGAGGGCCACCCCACACCCTCTAACGGTGGTCGGAGCAACGACGCGCAGCCGCCAATCCCGCCCTGCTCAGCTTGCCCATTCTTATTCACCCCCCTCCCAAAAGGCGGTGCTGTAAACTTTACAGCTTTCTGCAAGCAAATGAGATGAGCAGGAGCACGAGATCGGCATTTCTGAGCACACGCCGAATCGCACCCCTGCCCATCTTGCTTGCTTGCCGGCGCCCACAACCCAGGCAACCTGCAGTTTCAGCTGACTTTGCCACAAGCCTGTGTGGCGCTGCTGCCGCTTCACCTCATCCACTTTTACACTTTTTTTTTACATTTTTTTACATTTTTTTTCAGCCCATCCTACACATACCACCAGCCAGGTGCTCGCGTACCACTGGTGGTATGCATACCACCGGTTGAAAAGCCCTGCTGTAAGCAGTAAAATACTGTTTGCAAGACACAATCTAAAATTAAAATTAATAAGCTATATGTGTAAAACTAATCAGAAATGTAGCATCAGTTTAGCTCTAATATAAGAAATATTAAGAACTATGTAATATTATCTTACAGATTATAAACATTGCCTTTTAAAATACGTAATCAGTTCCAGCTTAGATTTATAAATTGTAATACAAAACAGAGGCATTTTGCATGTTATTAAGAGAGTATAAGCATTTTTCAGTATGCCTGATTAGCATTCTCTCACAGTCTTAAGAGCATTAACAAGATAAAAATATTATGCATTCTCTGTATAGCAGGCATTGAAGATGTGCTCAGAAATCCACACTACCCAGCTCAGAAATCCACACTGCCCAGCAGTAGAGATGTTTCATAGAGGCATTTTCTTATACTATCCTCTGCAATAGCAACGGTGAAAGCATTCCAAAATAACAGTATAAAACCCCTCTCTATTTTCGGTATTTTGTATGCTAGAGGTATATTGCTGGTGATACTATATGCTTCCATTTCTCAGGGCACAATAGATACTCAACCTACCTTGTTCAGTATTCAAAATATGGTTCTGCAGCACAGTGCAAGTCTTTTTATATCCCTAAGAATATAGGCTAGACAAGTATTATAATGTCCTAGCATGATCACTCAGCATTAATGGCTTCTTCCATGTACCATGAAAATTATTATCAAAGAAGTTAGATTTGAGCCAAAGAGAAACCCTTTTACTGATTTCATATCATTTGACCATCTTACCAGAGGGAGTACATCCATTTCAGATTTAGCACTGAAACTTGGCATACAGAAAGTCATAAATCTTATTTCAGTTTTTTAATGTTGCCAGCATCCTGGAAAATAGATCCAAGTCCTTTCATAGATTCCCGAGTTATAAAAATCATCTACTGTAATTGGAGAGTTGTATGCTAATCACTAATAAGATATTATAGTGAAAGTAGACAGCAACTGTCACTGTGTATTATTTAAATGTAGATTATCAAACAGGACTTATATTCAGAGTGGTGGAAACCAATATCCCAAAATCTCCTTTCAGTCTTCCCCTTTCCTCCTCAGCTTCTAGTACACTTGAACTGAAACCATCTGCCACTATCTCATTAGTATACCAGGTTTCCTGGATCATTTTGATATGACATTTTTAAATGTAAAGTTGAGAAAACAACCATTCGTGCTGCTGTAGCATCCTGCAACACTCCAGCTCAAGGGGAAACTCTTATGCTAGACTTCTGTTAGTAATAGCAATGGCAGTTAGATTTATATACCGCTCCAGAGTGCTCCGTACCGCTCCACTATCTCTAAGTGGTTTCCAGAGTCAGCATATTTTCCCCAACAATCTGCGTCCTCATTTTACCGACCTCAGAAGGATGGAGGCTGAGTCAATCTTAAACTGGTCAGGATCAAACTCCTGGCAGTGAGCAGAGTCAGCCTGCTATACTGCATTCTAATCACTGTACCACCACAGTTCCTTCTTATTTAATTTATGACTGCACTCATGAAAGCTAAGGTGGAGGTTTTTGAGATGTGTCCTACAATGGAGGAAGATGAGATACAGAGAAAATTCAAGAGACGAAAAGTAGTGAATATATGTAAAATACATTTAAGTGACATTATATTAATCACTAAGCCTTAAATAATATAAATACATAAAAGACATATAAATATAAAATAAATAAAATAAAATAAAATTTGCCAGTTTGGTAAAATAAAATTTGCCAGTTTGGTCTAGTCTAGGGATTAAGACTCCAGGCTAGAAAGCTAGCTCAGTCAGCTCAATCTCCTCCTGCATGTCCTATACCTCATCACTTTGCTTTCCAGCTGCCTCGTGATTAGTGGATTGCATAAAACCATAGAACTGGGCCCATTCCTTTCTAGAAAGGGCCAGGAAAGAAGTGAGGCAAAATAAATGCTCTTTTGTTCTACCTTGCTCTTTCCTTACACCACTCCATCAGGGTACATAGTTATGGAATTCTAGGCATGTTCACCATTTCTATAATCCAGCCTTCCACAAGCAGCAACAGGGTAGGTCTACATGATGTCAGTTATTCCTCCTAACAGGGTATGTGTGTCCTTCTTGTTACTTAGACTGCAGATAAAGCAAAAAACACTCTTTTGGACATAAAAGAAGAAACTATCTTGGGTACCATGCAAGTGCTACCATTAGGGAACGGCCAAGGGCAAGAATTGCCAGACTGCATAAAATCTGCAAGAGAGACCCGAATTTCTGACAGTAAGTGCAACTTCCTTTAAGACATACTGGAGTGGGTGGTAGGTGCTATTAAAAATATTTGTGCAGTACAGGTAGTCCTCGAGTTACAAATAGAATGGAGCCTGCCCATTCCATTCATAACTCAAGAATTCGTGGGAGTGAATCTCTTACCTCAAACGAGATCACTCCCTGCTTCCACCCAAACATTCGCGAATGTGCGGCTCATTAAGTGAACATGAGGTATCTCAGGGTGGGGAAGGCCATGCGGGGCCTAGAGATGGAACAGGTCACCTACTTCAGACCACCAAAGGTTCCCCACGACTCACTGAAATATCTCATTCTCCCTCCCCTAGGGTCCCTTCAATTGCTACCCCTCCATCCTGCCGCGCCCGTGTCACTTACCTTGTGAAGATATGTCTCCTCTCCAGCCTGTTTCTTTGCTCCCTGTGAGAGAGGAGGGAGAGCAGAATGAGCATGCCCTGCTCAGCTTCTCTGACTCACTGGGCTGCCAGCCACTTCTGGAGTGGCAGGCAGCTTCGGTGAGTCTCCTCCAAAGGCTTCCAGGCTTGGTGTGAAAAAGGGTTTGCACTCCAAAGGGAGGTTTGGGGCAATGAAATCACGTTGCTTCAAACCTCTTGTTGGCATGCAAACACTTTTCGCGCAGAGCCTGGAAGCTTCTGGATGCCCTGATCTCGCGGGAAGTCAGGCACCCATTCTCTGCAAAAGTGGATGGGTGCCTGAGCACGAGATCATGGCCCCCAAAAGCTTTCGGCCTCCATTCTGGGCATCAGAGGCCCACAAGAGGCTTCCCCTGCCCAGAATGGACCTCTGGAGACTCACGGCTCCATTCTGGGCATGGGAGGCCCGCAGGAGGCATCCTCCGCCCAGAATGGACCTCTGGAGACCCGCTACCACCACACTTGACCTCTGATCTGGGTGTGGGAGGCCCGCAGCGGGTCTCTGGAGGTCCACTCTGGGCAGAGAAGAAGGGAAGACTTCGATGTTTCAGCCCTTACCTCCATTTGCAAAGATTTTTGCCGCAGATCTAGTCCAGGCCTCTGCAGAGAACACAGGCCTAAAGTACCGTCAGATCTCGCGTGATCTTGCAGTACTTTAGGTCTCCATTCTCTGCAAACGCACAGAAGGCCTGAAGCAGCAAAACAGTCAAGAAGCGAAAACTCTCTAGATTGTTCACAAAGTGAGTATCCACAGGCCTAGTGCCTAGAAGACCTGGGACGGGGGGGAGGTTGAGGGAGTGGCCAAGGTGAATATTGCAGTGTCTCTGCAGTCATTTGTAAGGGTGAACAACTGCTGTAGTGTGGCAACATTCGTAATTTTGGGACTTTTTCGTAAACACTAGGGGGCACTTATCGCGCAACTTCGAACGTTCACAACTCGGTATATCTACCAAGATGACGTATAGAATATGTGGAATATGGCTGTCAATCAAGACCAAAAAGCAGAGGGGAAAAATGTCTTACTCAAATATTAAAAAGTACAGAGAATCTTAAATATAGGTAGTGTGAGGCCCAAGAACCTCTTTTTAGTTTCTTTATTGTGTTTGCCTACAGATAGAATCTTTCCAGACAAAAGCAACTATTATCCACATAACTAAAGGTATATTCTGTGAAGTGCTAGAAAAGGATTGTCTTTGCCCTCTTCCTGCCTCTAAGACATCAAAGCTATGCTGCTTCTTTGCAGACTTGTAGGCAGCCCCTCCCTCCTGGGATTCCGGACTACAGTGCCTCAGGTTTACGAAGGATCCCAAGTTTTGATTCAAAAGAAAAGAAAAGACATTGCTCACAATAGGCATTTTACATATTTTATGCTGTTTAATCATTATGGAAATATTTGCGGATACAAAACTGATAAATGAGGTGTCCCTATTCCCTGGGCCGTGGTCCACTACCAGGTTGTGTCCCATTTGGAATCAGGCCGTGCAAGCATCCCCTCTCCCACCACCGGCCACCAAGCTGAAAACTTTGAGGACTGCTGTGATAAATAACTAATCAACATAGAGAATGTTCAAACAAATATCTGTAAGTGCTGAAATTTAAGTACATGGGAAGCTTTTTATAGACTAGGACTAGGACATGAATAGAATAGAATAGAATAGAATAGAATAGAATAGAATAGAATAGAATAGAATAGAATAGAATAGAGAAGAGCTGAGTTGAGTTGAGTTGAGTTGAGTTCAATTCTTTTTTCTTTTCTTTTCTTTTCTAAGGGCCAAATGTGACACACAAGGAATTTGTCTCCAGTGCATAAGTTCACAGTGTATATGTAAACAGCAAATAATAGGTCATAGATCATATATCATAGTTACAATCATTAATCATAAGTTACAAAAACAATTGATAAATCATAAGAAAACAATAGAAGATAAGAAAGTTGAGAAGATGAGAAAATATGAGAAATGAGATAGTGCTGTGGGAATTAAGTGTTCAGCAGAGTGATGGCATGGGGGGAAACTATCTTTGTGTCTAGTTGTTTTGGCATGCAACGTTCTATAGCAGCATCCTGGGGGGAGAAGTTGAAATAGTATGGCCAGGATGTGAGGGCCCTCTTTCTGGTTCGTGCAGTATACAGATGCTCAACAGAAGGCAGGCTGGTTGCGGTTTATTTTTTTCTGCAGTCCTAACTACTCGTTGAAGTCTGTGTCTGTCCTGTTTGATTGCTGTGCCAAACCAAACAGTTGTTGAGGTACAAATGACAAACTCAATAATTCCTCTGTAGAACTGCATCAGCAGATCCTTGGACAGTCTGAACTTTCTGAGTTGACGCAGGAAGAACATTCTTTCTTGTGCTTTTTTAATTATGGTTATCATACTGTTTTTGTGTTATCTAGATGAAATCCTAGCTAGGATGTGAACAGGGTGTATTGTACTGTGAAAAACTATCGTATTAGCCAATATAGGAAGGTTTTACAGTACTAAGCTGACCTGGTCTAGGCAGTGTGACATACACTTCTGCAAATCCAGAGAGGCAGTAGAGAAAGTTTAAAGCCATTAAAGCATCCAGGACAGTTAACAGATAATCCATCATTCTTTTACTAAAAGGATCAAAATAATAGCTTCTTCTTCTCAAAATGAGGCCAATACTATAGTACTCTTCTTAAATTTACATTAACCATTTTTGTTTCAAACACTCCCAAGTCCCATTTCTTTTTTACTTGGTTCTGATAAAATATAAATATTTCACTGTAGAAAGATTAGATAGTGATATAATACAAGCAAAACCCTACCAAGTTAGAACATTATTGTCACTTCTCAGTTAAGTGGTGTTGTCACCAGAACTTCGGCTTCCTAGACCATGGTGTAGATGAAGGTCTACTGGCAAGAGATGGAGTGAACCTCACAAGAACTGGAAAAAATATATTTGGAAAATGACTGGCTCATCTTATCAAAAGGGCTTTAAACTAAAAATGGGGGGGAGGGAGCTTCACAACCTATTAAGACCTAATTCCAAGCAAAAACCACTAAATAACCAATGACATAAGGAGGAAGGGAGTAAAGAGAAAAAAGAAATAAACAAAGAAAAACATAATGAAATAGAAAGTGAAGGAAAGGATGGAAATCCCAGTTATAAAGTAGGAGATACAAGAAACATACCCAAGACCAATAAAGGACTCAAACATACCCAGGACCAATAAAGGACTTTTTAATATTTGAGTAAGACTTTTTTCCCCTCTGCTTTTTGGTCTTGATTGACAGGCATATTCCACATATTCAATACGTCATCTTGGTAGATATACTCGCTCAAAGTTTAGGGAACAAGCAGGGTAAATGTGAAGTATTAGTACAAGAAGGGAGATATGATATAGTTGCCATTACTGAAACTGGTGGGATGAAACTCATGACTGGAATGTACTGATGGAAGGATATAAACTATTCAAAAGAAACAGACCCAACAAAAGAGGAGGTGGAGTTGCACTACATCTCTGATAGAACCTAGATCTTGAAGAATCCTACAACAGTCAAATATAGTGGACATTTCTTAGTTTATTAATATTTTTCCTAATAGATAAGTTTGCTAATGCTTATAGAATTACTTATCTGGGTAGAAACACTGAATACTGTGTAGATCAGGGGTCCCCAACCCCCAGTCCGTGGACCAGTACTGTGCCACGGCATGCCAGCAACCTGGCCACACAAAAAGCAAAGCCCCATCTGTAAGATGCAGGCAGCTCACAAAACCATGCACCCTCTGGTCCACTCTCCACAGAACCAGTCCCTGGTGCCCAAAAAGTTGGGGACCTCTGGTGTAGATGATTTTGTGGGGAGGGAATTATGTTAAAATTTCAATGGAATGGTTTTAATGCTTCCACCTTAAGTTTTTATTGCATAATTGTCCCATTCAAAGAACTATATGGGAGCGCATGTTGTTGCTTTCTACTTCTAATATACAGGTATCTACCTAAAACCTAGTATCTTTCTTACCATAGAGAATCTGGTACTGAGGGAAGAATAAAAATGCTAGACACATTTTTTCAACTGTATGCTTTTCCCCCAGGCCCTGTGGTTTTATATGCTGTGATGGATGCTGTACCAGTGTTACGATGGAAGGAATTTGTGAGGAACCTGGGACTGAGCGAAAATACAATTGAGAGAATTTTTTTTGACCATAGGCCTGTGCGGGATGCACAATATGAGACACTAAAAGAATGGAGACTATTGGCAAACCATGATGCTACTATGGAGCGCATCAGTCAGGTTCTCAGTAAAATGGACCTAAATGGATGTATTGAGGATATTCAGGAAGCACTGGCCAAACAGTGAGAGACATTGTATTATCTGCTTTCTTTCCAAAGAGAACTCACTAATGCAAACTTATTTTATCTTCAAGTTTGTTTTTCCATTGTACCATAAATGGAATTTTTTAAATATACTGTGTATCTCTAACATATGCTTTAAATGGAATCATCCAGTTAATTAAGTGAATTAAGGTGTGTGTGTGTGCGTGGACATCACACACACACACACACACACACACTGATAGATCTCTGTCATGTTGTACTGGTCTTTTTCAGAGATGGATTTTGACCATTTCCTTTGTTAGCCTTCTATTTTTTTAAGTCCTTTTGTATAGGCCACAAAGAAAATGTAGGCAATTTCATCAGATGTTTGGTAGTTTATACTTTACAGTATAAATTATACTTTATAATATAAGAGTTACCTATTAAGTATTCATCCACTATATAGCCAAACTCATATGTTTGTTTTGGTTTTTAATGCCCATTATTTTTGTCTACTACTTACTGTATATGTTACATGTACCCAGTATACACTTGTGAAAGAATATAGATCTTTTAAAACAAGGAAAGGAATGAACATATTAAGGAGGGGGGGGACTTTGAGAAAAGATTGTTCAGTTTTAAGGAAGAGGAAACTATGAGAAAGAAACTTGAAACAATAACACCTTGATTTTGGATCCTGTAAGATGGGTCAGAGAGAAACTCTGCCAAGTTTCAAGATTTTGCTTTTCTTCCCTACAACAATAAAGAGCATTCCTGGAACCTCTGCTTTACCCTGTTTCTTGTGTTTGCTTTTCTTGAATGGTTGCATGCATACTGTTTTTATTAGGAAAGCTTAATTTGTATACTAACTATAGGGTACACAATAATGTTTGGTATCTAGGATTTTTCAGATTGGAGAGACTTTACAAATCAGCATATACAACTAGTATTAAATCCATAAATAGTATAAATATAAATATATACTATATTATAAATATAATAAATAAATATTAAATATAAATATATAATATATAGTTAAAGTATAAATATTAATCTTGGAGTCCTAATGGACAATCATTTAAATATGAGCCAGCGGTGAGCTGCAGCTACCAAAAAAAACCAATGCAATTTGAGGCTACATTAACAGAGATACAGAATCAAGATCATGTGAAGTGTTAATACCACTTTATAATGTTTCAGACCTACTTAGCCTCTTTATTCTAGGGTCAACAGATTCCATGGAAATAGCAGTTCTGAATCTCTTTTCAACTTTTTTGAGTGGCCACAGGGGAATCCTTGTCATTCAAAGGATTCCCCTGAAGAATATGAAGACAACTTAGAGAACTTCAGCACCTCAAAGGAAAGTGCCTGGGATCTCGGTGATGTTTCAAAGACGTGCCCTATTTTTATTTGTATTGCCATCGAGGAACTGTCACGTCTTTGCCAGAACACACAGCTGAAAGGCATGGTGAAAGCCTTGCAAGTTGGTGGCTATTAGGGATAGAAACACTTCTAACAGTGAAAGACCTACAGGGAAGCTAGAGCGCTGCAGATATGAGACAAAATGGTACCTGACCAGTTGATGCCAGAGAGACTAGCTCTACTTCTCTGCCTTCTTCCAGGAGCTTAGTTTCAGATGACTCCTTTTCCACAAATTGGCCCCTAATGTAGATCTAATCATCCTGTATCTCTCCACTCAACAGCAGGACCCCAGAAGAACGCTGCACCAGAACTGGACCCTGACCTGGACCTGGATCCAATCAATTTCCTTGGGAGAATGTCTGGTAAGGCTTGACACCCAAGATTAAGCTGAAGACTTCGAAAAAGAAAGGCCTTATATTCCTGCAACCTCCAATTCAGTTCTCACCTGGAGAAATTGGCCTTTCACTATTCCATTTCCCTTTTCTTACCATTCTGGTTATGCAGGAAGTGTGAGGTGACACCAGCCCCCTGGCCCCCGCTTCCTCTCTTAGACTGAGTCAGGTTATACCCTCCCCACATATCATGATCCAGAAGAACATGGTCACATGCCATATCTTAGCGCTCCTGTGTAGGTAGACAGAGCCACAGGTTGTTCCTCCCTTGACTTCTCAGGAAGTCTATCAGGCTGACCCTTACATATTTCTTCCTGTGGACCTGGGACAGGCAGAATAATCCAACTTCGTCTCTTCATGATATTCTTTCCAGCATCTTTGACAAGCTGCTCTGGGCCATTGTCATTTTGCTGTACTGCAGTTAGAATGCGTTCCTGTTCCTGACCAAGGTGAAGGTGGGCTCTTAGCTGCCTAAAGGAGCAGAGGAACAGTCCAGCCCTCCTCAACCTGCAGCTACAGGAGGTGATACAGCTTGGAAGGAGGTGGCTCTCCTGCATGGGCAGATTTTAATGTCTCTTGGAGATACTATTGTTTCCTGTGAGGGCAATTATGTGGAGAAAACCATGTTGTTTGGAAGAACAGGTAATGTAAAAAGAAGCTACCAGGACTGGAGGCTAAAACATATGAAGAATGGTTGCAGGAATTGGGTATGTTTAGTTTAATGAAAAGTATTAAGAATGACATGATAGCAGTGTTCCAATATCTCAGGGGTTGCCACAAAGAAGAGGGAGTCAAGCTATTCTCCAAACAACCTGAAGGCAGGACAAGAAGCAATGGATTGAAACTAATCAAGGAGAAAATCTTCCTGACCACTAGAACAGACATGTCAAACTCGCGACATCACGTGACGTCACACGATGTATCGGAGCTTTTTGGCCATTGCCGGCAATGGGTGGGTGCGGCTCCGGTATGATGAAACTGGCCCGTGGGCCGGCAGTTTGACACCCCTGCACTAGAATAATCACTTGAACGATTTACTTGCAGAAAATGTGGGTGCTCCAACATTGGAGGTTTTTAAGAAAAGATTGGATAACCATTTGTCTGAAATGCCTTTGAACTATGGTGCTGGAGAAGTCTCCTGCAAGTCCCCTGGACTGCAAGGCGATCAAACCAGTCAGTCCTAAAGGAGATCAACCCTGACTGCTCTTTAGAAGGCCAGATCCTGAAGTTGAAACTCAAGTACTTTGGCCACCTAATGAGAAGGAAGGACTCACTGGAGAAGAGTTCCCACTGATGCTGGGAAAGATTGGGGAAGGGGACGACAGAGAATGAGGTGGCTAGATGGAGTCACTGAAGCAGTAGGCGTGAGCTTAAATGGACTCCAGAAGATGGTAGAGGACAGGAAGGCCTGGAGGAATGTTGTCCATGGGGTCGCGATGGGTTGGACATGACTTTGCAACTAACAACAACAAAAAGATCCGTTCCAATTGTTAGTCTGTTAGATACAATCAGTGATAACATACAATTAACAAACATTTATGTGTAGGATTTGTTGACCTTCCCTTTATAGGTAAGTAATTGAATACATTTAATCAACATAACTCGTATCCCCTGCTGAATAGAAGAGAAGCTGGAAGGGACCTTTGAGGTCTTCTAATCCAGCCCCTTGCTCAAGCAGGAGAACCTATACCATTTCAGACAAGTGACTGTCCAGTCTCTTCTTAAAAACCTCCAGTGATGGGGCGCCCACAATTAATTGGTTAATTGTCCTCACTGTTAGGAAGTTAATCCTTAATTCCAGGTTGCTTCTCTCTTCGGTCAGTTTCCAACCATTATTTCTTGTCCTGCCCTCTGGTGTTTTGGAGAATAGTTTGATGCCCTCTTAATTTCGCTCTGTAATCAGAAATGCTTACACGAAATACCAGCATTTTAAAATAGCATATATCTGCCCCCTGCGATGAAGTTTTAACGTCCATCCGTTAGGAAAAAAAGGAACGGACCATTACAGGCATGCTAAAAGTGCAGAGCGTCTACTTCGGAAGTAGCTTGAGAAACACAGCTTTATACGCTTTCTCCCTTCTCAGCAACTTTAGCACGTGTGGACTTAAACGTTCAGAATTCCGCAGCCGGTATGCTGTACGATGCTACTTGAAAAGTTCTGGGAGTTGAAGTTCACACTTGTTGAGATATAAAGAGAGGCATTCATTTTTGCTGCTTTTGAATCCAAATTTATGTGAGCACCAAAGTTGAAGGGGAGGAGACAAACTCGCGGGTCAGATCAAATGTTGGATCCCCTCGGATATTTCTATGGACGCTAGGACTTCCGCCACTGCGAATGAGATGCGCGAAGAAGCCCGGTCGCAGTTCCTGGAGTATCTGGCGAGGCTTTTATGGGAAATCGTCAGTAAAGGACGACACTTCCGGCGCTTTGAACGATTTGGCGGGAGGATGGCGGCGGAGGGTGGCTGCCTGGAAGAACCGAGGCCGTGGCTCCTGGAGGCGGTCACTGTCCCCTTTTCTCCCCGTGAAGAAGCCACAAGGGGCCCAGTACTCAGCCCACCTGCCGGCTTAGAGAACTCCAGAGGCCGGACTCGCAGCTTGCAAGGTAAGCAGGCTTTGAACCCGTAGCCGGGCGGGTTCAGTTCAATCTCAAAAGGATGAGAAATATAAGAAATATATTTGAAAGCTGAACGGCTGGGAAAAATAATGGCTAGTAATCGAGAAAGGTTTATTAGTAAGACTTCATTGCAGACGATGTATGCTAAGCGTGGCCTGCAAATAAAGCACGCAGTGGCCAGAGATGAATTTTTTGGTTACAACTTTTGCTAACTTATTAAAATGTCCAATGCTCATTGTGATATGGGACTGGAGAAACATCCCCTGGAGCAGTAGCTGCATAAAAGAAAGCTTCTCAAAACTATTGCTGTTTTCTACACATGGGAATTCTTAAATCAATCCAATAAATGATAGTTGTTAAACTTTATTTAAATTTTATTTTATTAATATTATTTTTCTTACTGTATCACACATTTTCCTGAATAGTCATAAGGCAGAATATTGATCTTTGAAACTAAAATTTATGGGCAAATTTCTAACCATTAAATAAAATTTCTGCCCTAACCATGTTTCTCCTTTGTATGACTTAAAAATGAGTTTTAGAAAATCATTTATGCAGTATTTCAGGGGACATATTTATGTTATTGCATCTGAGAAGATACCTGAATTCAAAATGTATTACTTAAACCTCAGTAATAATTTCTGAATTCTGCTTTATCAAATTAGTTCATACTCTGAAAAACATTTTGTTTTATTAATTGATAAACAAAAGCATTATATGATACATTTATCTGTCAGATTATTTATTTTGCAACTTTGCATCCCTCTGACAACTGGTTATCATTATAGATCCAGGATAGGCACTTTCCACTTCCAATTGGTAGATTAATTTGCACTGTAATTCTTTGGATGTATTATATGCAGTCCGGACATATGGGATAGGCAGGATTAGAAAGACTTACTTAGTTTTCAAAAGATACAGTATATGAAGTGCCTTGTGAGTTAGAGATTGCATATGTACATGTGCATACACAGAAAAAGAACAAATGCACATCTTGTGGAAAACGAAAGAACTCTTACGAATTCCAGAGGGGTTAGCAGAGAAGTTTAATTGCGCAAGGTCCAGAGCATATTAGAGATAGGCAATTCTGAACGAGGAGGGCGTGATTAGACTTCAGTTTTTATACTCCCCTCCTTAAAGAACAAAGGACTACACATTGAAATACACACTGTGATACATTAGGAACATTTC